GCGTCTCGGCGAAAAAGTAGCTCTGTTGGACGTCGTCCTGTGGCGGATCGACCAGGTAAACATTGTGGAGTCCCGTGAACCCCCCTGGAACACGGCAGTATTTCTCGAGAGCTTGAACGGCCTCCCATCCCCATTCACGGTACTTGGGATCCTTTGTCAGCCGCCACATCACGAAGTACGATTCGAAGGTCTGAAAGAAAAATATTTTTACCTCGGAATTTGGCGAGCGGCCCCCGTTTGTCCCGTCGAAATCACGCGAAAAAGAACGGATTGAATATTTCAGCTTTCATTACCGGTCGAGAAAACATCCGGAAATAAATGCTGAAACGTTCCTCTCAGCCTCCCGTTTCTTTGCTCGCCCCATCGCTTCCAATGGAATGCTTGGTTTAAAACGACTTATGCATCTCTCTTTTCTTTTTTCTCCCCCCTCATTCTCGTTCAACGATACGCATTCTCGCACGAAGAATCGAAGAACAGAACAAGTATTTACTTCTGAATTGCTCGTTTCGATTGTATTTCGAACAAAAATGGAGCGAAGGATCGAGACTTCCCTTCGAAGTCTCGTGAAGTTTTTCGAAGGCCAGGATTCCTCTTCTGTTTCTTAATGTTTTTCAAACATTTTTATCTTTATTTCCGTTTATTCTTTCGATTATATTTGTTCGATATCCCTTCTCTTTTACTCAAACAACAAAAAAAAAAAAAAACGTAACCTTCTTACCTCCGGCCGAAGGATGTAGTATTTCTCGCCGTTCTTCAAGCTCTTCGCCTCGTTCCCCTCGATGAAATGGAAGGCTTCGGGGCCGAGTTTCGTGTAACTTCGATCGTAGGACTCGTGGCACGTGTTGGTGAGACCGGCGGCTATCGTCATGTATCTATCGGACAATTCGTTTTGCAATGTTTTCGCGCCTAACGCGAACATACCACCTGGGGAACAAGCGAATCAAATTTCTTCTTTTTTTTTTTTTTTTCTCTCGAGACGAATACGAATACGAATTGGAATATAATTCGTTGCTTCATTTTTTTTTTATTATATATTTTTAAATTTTATATTGGAAAGGAAAGGATTCAAAAGCTCACCGGCGAAACACGCCAGATGACCCATTTTGTGTTCCAGCCTGTCGTACTTCAAGTCCGACACGTAGAGCAGCTTGCCCTGCGACGTCTTGATCATGTGTTGATCTATGGCCACGATCGCCTCGTCGTACATTTGCCGGGCCTCGACATCCTCCTTGCCGGATTGGATCCACGCTTTCAGAAGATATTCGTAGAAACTGTCACCGAGCCCTCCCAGCGACATGTGATCTGTCGAAAAGAATGCTCTTATTTTTCTACAATAATTTTTCGATCATCGATCCCTATTTTTATATTAGAGAGAATGATATAACAGTGATAATAAGATTTAACGTGGAGAGGCATCGTACAACGCGTTGAAAGACGAATCTGACGATGCGTATAAATTTCCAAAAGATTCCAAAAGAATTTATTCATGATTCTATGATTTCAATGATAATAAACAAGTTGACAGGAACAGAGATTGAATCATTTCATAAGAACGATATCAAGTAGGATAAAGATCCTATAAATGATCCAGATGCATTAAAATAATTCAATAATTCGTGAAAGGTTTACTTGAAGCTCAAGATGGATAAATAAATTTCATCCCCGGAATCAAATTCAATCCAAATTCTGTGGAATTAATTTATGAAATCACGAAGAGGGAAGGAAGGAGCAAGCTCGTTATTAAAACAACTCGCGAATTCCTCGCCATTCCTCTTAAGCTCATTATACGTTTGAAAAGGTGGACGGAGAATACTTGGAAAATCTACTGGGTCCGGGGGTCCCTGTCGACAAGGGGTTTATCTTGAGACAACAATCGAGAGACATCTCGAAATTGGAAGGAGCTATCCGTTTCATAATTCTCTTCGTCCAATTGGGGGAGGAGGTAACTTTTCCTCATTGAATTAGAAACAAAGAGGGGAAGGAAACGAGACGAAGGGGAGGTGAAACGCTTCTCTCAGCCACTCTCAGTCAGAAAGAGAGAGAGAGACTCACTTCTTCTTCGACACATCTTTTTTTCTTCTTCTTCGTTCGCATTCCACTCCATTCAACTTAACCCTGGCTCTCAGCAAAGTCCTCTTCTTAAAAGCCAAATTCCAGTGGCGGATTAATAAACTACGATCATCCTCATCTTCGTGGAAAATCGTGGGAGGACGTGGCCTATTACGAGGCAGGGGTGAATTTGGACAAGGTCCTCGAAGGTGAGGGTAGGAAGAGGGATGTACAGTCGGTGCACGCGAATATATCCGCGAGGTTTCTGCACGGAGAAGAGGGTTTGCTACTCCGACAACTCGTCTGGGACAAGGGTGCAGGGAGACAAAGAGCGAGTCGAGCTCGGTTTTTTACTCTTCCAGCGTTTCCTCCGTTTTCCTCCAACCCTTTCTCGCTCAAAACCACGCTCGAAGGGATCGAAATAGAGGGAAGAAGGTAAATTGTTAGGAGAGATTTTCAAACAAACTGAGGTGAATTTTTCTTTTCTTCTTTTTTTGCTCGAATCTCTTTGAATTTCTCTCTTTCTTGTTTCGCGTTTATCACCGGAGAAATTAGAATAGAGAGTTAAAATCAAACTCGAATATTCAGGAAAATCCTCCTCGAGTGCGTTGCTTCGGGAATCGATTCCAGCTGCTCTCCCTCCGTTCGCAAACACGACGAGGAGATTTCTACCTGGCCGGGGTAATTAGCTTTCCCCTCCCGCGAGTAGCCTCGTGATTCAATAGAACTATAAATTTAAACAGGAAGCCCCCGTTCCTTCCATCGTGGATAAAGGAAAAGGGGGCGACGGAGCGGATGAGAGGACGGAAAAAGAAAAAGGAGAAGTAGGAAGGGGGAAGAAAGTAAATAAGTAAAAAGATGGTGGGGAGGAAGGGGATGTAAGAAAAATACAAGAGCGGACGAAGGGGGTGCAAACTAGAGAGAGAGAGAGAGAGAGGCAGATCCAGATGATAAATATTCGTCATACGACGGAGGAAAATACAAGGTGGAACAAGCAGGGAGGGGAGAAGAAGAGGATTTAGCGGCCCGAGGGGATGCGAGCCGTGTGATAAATGCGATATTCGGTGTGCAAAGAGCGGCCACCTCTCTCCTCCCCTCTTCCTCCCATGCAGGCGGAAGCGCAAAAGGAAGCCGAGGAAGCAACACCCTCCTCCCTCTCTATCCTCAGCCTTCTGTCGCGTCGAAACTATTCCACCGATATAATTGATAGCCGTCAGATTAAAAATCTATTTTGCCTTGAAATTGTCGGGGCTCCCGAGAGGAAGATTTATTAAATGAAATTACAGTAATAAAGCATCGGGCCGCATTTACATCCGACATTGATCGTTGTTCCACGTCTCTCGCTCCTTTTTACCCCCTCCCTCCTCCTCCCTTTCTCCTCCAAAGATTCCTCGACCGACTCTTCCCTTCTTCTTTTTTTTTCCTCAGGATCGTCGAACGCATCGACGATTTTCTCGTTTCTTCGGTTGTTTCTTCAGGACGAAAACTCGCCTAAACGTTTTCCCACGTTTCGAGAATTAACGCGCATAATGGTCCCTCCTCTTAGCCAAGGTTCCTCCTCTTATTGGAATGAACGAAATGAAATTTATTATTGCACGAGAAGGAATAATTAGGCCTCCGATGTTTTTGCGGGCGAAGCAACGATCGTTGCCGCCGGAATTGATGCGGACGATGATTTAAGTTGCTCGGGAATGGGATTACTCGGCTATGCTGTATATAGTGTAGTCGCAACACCTTGCGAGATTTATCGTTGCTATTAAGAGGTTCGTCTTCTCTCTCTCTCTCTCTCTCTTTCGTGGTTAAGTTGCTCGACAAGGGGAACACGTATCGGGTATGAATGAAACGGAATTTAATTTGTTGCTACGTATTTCGAAAAATAATTTTGATTGATATACGTCTCTTAACTGCAAAATTTGTCCTCCTCAACTTTTAAAGTGAAGGTAACTTCGAAAAAAAGTTTTAAAATATATGAAACAACACAAAATGAATAAAAATAAATTAGAAACAAGTTTAATTTCTTCTTAGCCTTCAAATATTTGGATTGGAAATTTGAGATCTAATATAATAATCAATCCTTGAAATTTTTCCAGGTATCTTTCTTAGTGTTTAGATGCGCAAAAAATAAATAAATGAAAAAAAGCAACTCACGTTGGCCCCATTTCCCCGTCTTCGGATGAATATAGTTTGGATACAGCCCCTTCGGTTTCTCCAGATTCTTCAGCACCTTCCTCACGTTCTCGACCTTGCTCTTGAAAACCGGATTCCCAGTGATGTCGCTTAAATAGGTGAATTCGAGGTGCATCGTGCCAATTTCGGACAGGATGCTACACCCGCTGCTCGCCCACCCGTAATTCTTGCTCGCCTGAAAATTTCCAAACCGTTTCTCCAATTAATTCGACGAGTCGAGGATGGATAAAGAGAGAGATAGAGAGAGAGAGAGAGAAGGGAAGGGATGTTTCGCGAAAGGCGAGGAGAGTAATCAGTGACGAAAGTCGGTTGAATCGAACGGATCCAATTAAACGGAATAACAAAGAACGGCCGGTGTCTCGTGTTTATAGAGACGGTTTCGAAGCGAATACGGATCCGCCAAGATAAATATTAACCCGAGACCGTGGAAAATTACCGGTACAGCCATATTGAAAACGATCCCCTCGAGAAATTTGATCGAATTTTCGCCTCGAAAGAAAGATAGATACTCGATTGCCTTTCAGAAGAAATCTAACTGGTTTTTGGTTAACTTGGTTTCTCGAGGAATTATTTTAAGATATCGCGGATTTCAGATCGAATTAGATAAATTCGATGATCAAACGATCGACGCGTATCGACTTTTTTCTTTTTTCCCCAACAAATGTGAAAAGATTTTGCACGAATCGTTTTGAATTTCCCGCATTGAATGTGTTAAAACAGAAGAGTATTGAGTTTATTTGATACGCTGATTTTTATTAGATTGGTATTTCTTTAGAAAACGTAGGCAATAGTATAATAGTGAAGGGTTATTTCAATTGCAAATATATATATATTCTCCGCAGAAATTTGTAAATATCTTGGTAAGTAAAAGGGATCGAAATTGATTTCGACATTTATTTAGTGCACTTATCGTGTCCGCGCGAAACAAAACAGTTTCAATCGGATTTCCATTCGAAGGGGCCAAGTTTTCCAGCCGGATTCCAGCGGACCACGATTTTCACGGCGTTACACCATTCTCACCAGGAGGGGAGGGTGAATGGAAAAAGCCGTCGGAATCGGCACTCGTGTCGTTCGGCGCGAAAAAATTGGATGGAAAGGGGATGGATGAAAAAAAAAAAAAAAAAAGA